ATTTAAATCCCTTATTTACATTATTTAAATTATTTAAATTATTTTGGACGCCCGAGAATTTAAATAATTTAAATAGGTTCCGGGTTTCTCCGAGCCCAGACCATTTAATTAATTTAAATAATTTAAATATTTTAAATAATTTGAATAATTTAAATCAAGGATTTAAATTATTTAAATTCTCGGGCCTCCCAAATATTTTAAATAATTTAAATAATTTAAATCCAGGATTTAAATTATTTAAATTCCCGGGCCTCCAAAATAATTTAAATAATTTAAATAATTTAAATAATTTAAATCCAGGATTTAAATTATTGAAATTCTTTTCGAGGCTGGAGAATTTAAATAATTTAAATCCCTGATTGAAATTATTTAAATTCTTTTCGAGGCCGGAGAATTTAAACAATTTAAATCCCTTATTTAAATTTTTTAAATTATTTAAATTATTTAAATTATTTTGGACGCCCGAGAATTTAAATAATTTAAATAGGTTCCGGGTTTCTCCGAGCCCAGACCATTTAAATAATTTAAATAATTTAAATAATTTAAATAATTTAAATAATTTAAATAATTTAAATAATTTAAATAATTTAAATAATTTAAATCAAGGATTTAAATTATTTAAATTCTCGGGCCTCCAAAATAATTTAAATAATTTAAATTATTTAAATCGGGGATTTAAATTATTTAAATTCTCGGGCCTCCAAAATTATTTGAATAATTAAATCCCTGATTTAAATTATTTAAATTCTTTTCGAGGCTGGAGAATTTAAATAACTTAAATCCCTGATTTAAATTATTTAAATTCTTTTCGAGGCCGGAGAATTTAAATAATTTAAATAGTTGGATTCTTGAATAGGTTCTTCATATATACAGGAAAACAGGTAGCAACATAGTACATAAAGGTCCCTCTCTCATATATATATATATATATATATTTCTATATGTACTAGAAACAAAAAAAAAATATATATATATATATATGTGTGTGTGTGTGTATCTGCATCGGTATATGTATATGTATATGCGTATGCATATGCATGGCGAAGCGTGTCCTCTTCCCCAGCGCCGAGGTTCACACCCTGGAGAAGGCCCATGAGGCCGCGACTGAGACGAGCTTGGCAGAGCGCGCGCGTGTTTTCCAACCTTCTTTCTAGTGTTGGACGGCAGATTACATGGCAAGATTGCGGCTCCCTCTTGCGCAGCTTGTATCTTGTAGCCCTACTGTAGTGAGTCAGTACGTTCCTCAGGCCCCAAATCCTGAACCCCACGAAACAACAGGTCATGAGCCAAGCACTGTCGGCGAAGCGCCCGGAGCTCTGCTCGGATGCCGCCACATTCAAGGAGGCGCCTTTTTGTGGTGGCCGTGCGTGGGTGGGGTGGGGTGGGGGCGTGCAGGATGTTCCAATACTTTAAGACTTGGCCTTCCGTGATGGTCTTTGGTTTTTGGAATCTTCAGCAAACTGGCCTCACCCTGCATGGTACACCTTTTGGTTAGAAGTTGGAAAGCTTTTCATGCAGGGCATCTTTAGAGGGGGCTCGCGGATGCAGGAGATGCGCAGAGTGCAGGAAGCATACCCGGAGAAGCTCGGACGAAGCGAAAGACTCAGGGTTCGGGGATGAACTTGTGTATCAGGGTATATCAGGATGCATAGGGTTCGTGGCAGGAGAAGGTGATGAGCATGTGCCTAGGGATGCGGAACCTGCTGTAGACGGACGATGGCGCGAGTGCTTCGTGCTTTTCAGCTTTGTTCGTCCTTCCCGCTCGTGTGCTGAATTGTGGCATCGCAACATCCTGTTTGGTATGGTACGGCATGGTGCTATGGTGTCGACCCTTGTTGTGCAAGAGGCCATCTCAATTTGTTGGGGGGGGGGGTGCCGGGGAGCACCTACAACTGAACGCCCCAAAGTCGTCGCCGCAAACATCAGGAGGAAGCACGACTTCACCTTCTGCCGCCACGAAGTCCTTCGGAAACTGACAGGCTTGAGGGTCTTTTGCTGTTGGCCTCGAGCTTCGAGATCTCTCTCGAATCTTTCATTCATTCTTTCTTTCTTTATTTCTTTCTTTCCGTCATTCTTTCTTTTTGTCTCTCTTTCTCTCTTTCTCTTTTTCTCTCTTTGTCTCTTTCTCGCTTTCTCTCTCTCTCTCGAACAATTTGCGCGCTCTCGCGTGTTGTCCCAGTCAGCTCTGTGTTGCATCAGAGGCGATGATCAGCTCGCAGAAGAAGTTTTCCAAATCTGGCACCGCCAGAGGCAGAGTGAGCCTCGTGCTTTCGTGTAGCTAAGGGGCTTTGGAGAGAAGCACTTCTTGGGTGTTTTACCCTTTTTGCTCCGTTTGTTGTATTCCCGCTCCTTTGTGGCGCACTCGTCTCTCCGTCTCTGTGAGGAACAGCCCGGCGCTGTTTCCTGGCGTTCTCGACGCGATACGGTCGCTGAAGTCCAAGGCCCGCTGGTTGGACATAGACCGGAATATAGGCTACAAACCCAAAGTCAAAACCTAGGGCCGTAGGGCTTGCAAAGTCTACCTGAGTCTACCTGTTTACATGGGAAGGGAGTGACCATCGGCACGCTGACCGACGGCAACGCCAACCCCTTTACAATCGATGGCTTGCTTCTTGGCGCCACAAAACACTTAAACTTCCCAGGTGAGAGGTAAAGTGGAAGGTATAACGGAAAAGAATTGGCTTGCAAACGGCCCCGGCTCCCCCGAACCCCCCAGAGACGCGCCTGAGACTCAGGAAAGACGTCGTTGACTTCGCTGTGAATGCCGTGGAGGCGGGCCTTTGACTTGAAAGGCTGTTGTTGTCCAAACCGCGCCCCTGGCCTTTCGGAGATTTTTTAAAGAAATCTTTGGCATGAACCAGATTCTTAACCCCAAGGGCGCCCTGAAGCCATCTTGATTGCTTTATCTGCAACTTTACACTAGGACACTGAAGGCACACATGTGTGTCCCTAAAGCGCATGTATAGGCTGTTTGCATTGGATTGTTATTTCATGATATTCATTGAATTGTTTTTACTCTATTCTTGTTGTGTGTGTGTGTGTGTTTTGCGACGTGCCCGTTGTGATCTTTTGCCAGGCCGGCGCTCCCAAGCCCGACCGGCGGATGTTTGCGCTCCTCGTTGAGTGCTTTATTGGGGGGAAGTTCCCCTGTTGTGAGAAGTTGCTGCGGGGTTTTTGGAACAGGCTGGATGTTGGAGATTGGGGGCGTCTCTTATGACTCTCAACAAAGTTTGGGCACCTGGGGTGTATGGTGCAGTTTGGGGGTTCAGGGTGTAGTAGCTGAAGTTTCTGCACCGCTTGCCGACTCATGCCTGATGTGACCGGAAGCTGACGAAAGAATCCTCCCAAGTAGACTGTTGCCTACATCCTGAAGATTTCGAAGACTTCGACTGGTTGAATATGGGTTAACTATTATCCCCTTCTTGAAACTTCTGTCGAGGGCGCAGCAATAGCCCCGCAGGTCGTCTTTCCCGTGCCTTCCCTCCTTCCATTCCCTTCCCTTCCTACATTTTAGAAAGAGACCCCCCGCCCTACACACATAAGCGTGGCAGCGACTCAAAACAGAATCCTTCGGAGATCCGCTCCGAGGCTTTGTGAGTCCAAGGCCGGCCTCAGCCCTGAAGCGATGGCCGGGGTCTCGGTCTCCTCTCGTGCACGCGTGCGCACGTAGATTGGCGCTCCATTGGGTCTCGGGTTTAGGGTCTGGTCTAGGCCGACGAGGTTCGGACCTGCTGTCTGCTGGCGGTTTGAATGTCAAGGTGCCCCGCCCCCCTCTTCCCTCTTCCCTCTTCCCTCTGCCTTCCCTCTTCCCTCTCCCCTCGTCCCTTTTCTCTCTTCCCTCTTACCAAGTTGATGCTTTCTCTCCTGCTCTCTCTTCCCTTCTCCTTTTTTTGCGCTGCGAGGTAATGATCGGGGACAATCCGGCCAAGGACGTCGAAGGGGCCCTGGATGCAGGATCGAGGGCTCAGTCTGTGGAAGCTCAAGAATTGGAGGGTAACAGCCGCTTAAGCCGTTTAAGCCCCTTTTGTTTCCTTTATATTACTTTGTATCATCTTTCTTTGGAGTGGTACAGGGCGAACCTCCACGGCCGAGCATCGTTTTTGGCTATCGAAGGGCTTGGGCTGAGGACCTTCGGCTTACGACCCACAGAAGACGGAAGGGTTGGAGCATGTTCGAACGAATCTGCAGGTTGGCGTGCCATTTGGGTGAAGCCACCCGAGCCGTGCCCCGACTTAATGGGCTTGGCCTTGAGTTTGCCGCCCTTGACAAGGGGTTTCAAGTGTACTTCGCATACTCCATTCGAGATCCGACAAAGTTCACACCTTCCGCAGTTCTATTCTTGTCAGCATCTAGGTTTGGTAGGCCCCCTGCAGCTGTTGCGGAGGTGTGTGTGCCTCCGTGAAAAGGTCCGTGCTGCGCAGCGCCTTCGACGTGGACGGTGGCAGCTCCGGGCCGCCGCCGCGGCGGGCGCACGCGGATGTGGAGCACGTGGCCGAGGCGCGCCGCTTTCCGGCCCGAAGGAAGGGCAGATCCCGAAGCTGCAAAAAGTAGCGTGGAGCATCCTGAAGCGTCATGAAGCATGGTGGAGCATCGCGTCGTGGAGAGCATCGTGGGGCATCGTGGGGCATCGTGGAGCATTGTGAAACACAGCACCCGCTCAGGTGGAGGCCTGCTTGGCCTCCTGGGCTTAGGCCGGGCGACGATTGATCAGGCATATCCAGGCATCCTGCTCGCCAAAGAGTTCGCCAGCAGATTGCGCTGGCAAAGAGGAGCGAAAAAATCTGGCTTCAGGGAGGTGTCACGAGAATCCCCTTTTGGGCGTAGAAGCTGGAGTCAGCTAGAGCAGGATGGCATGCAACTTAGTAGTCACACCCACCTCCATCATGTACAGCATGCTGCTGCATGAGCTCGTGCCCCCATGTCAGCTTGGCTTGGCTTCCTGAAGAGTGCAAGCTGCGTCCAACGCGTCCGATCTCGAGAATCTAGAGCGCCTCTCTCAGGTTTCCATTCCAGACGCGTCTGCCGGGCATTGTCCACGGTGCGCCCCGCTGCCTTAAAACCCCACTGCAAAGAAGCCTTCACGTGTCCCCCAAACTGCCCAACGTAACCTCAGCCTCAATCCCACCAAAGAAGCCGCACCAAAAAGATAGAAGACCAAAAATGCGAGAAAGAAGAGGTATCCAGTACGACCTCGACTCCGGCCGCCTCGTCGGTGTCCTGACTTCCGCATCGACGGCTCGAGTTCGGATGCTGCAGCCGTGGGTGTGGGCCCGGCGTCGCTTTGCACATATCAGGCATATCGCTTTACAGCAGGACTTAGCAGGACTTGAGCGACTTTCGGATTCCAGGAGCCCGCGGAGATGTGAGTAAGTTTTGCAGAGATTGCTTTTCCAGTGGCGCGCCTTGTTCTGCTTAAAGATTAGAAGAGTCGCTTCTTCGGCCTCTGCTGTGTTGCCAGCTGCCAGCAGAAAGCACACCGCAATGATCGGAGAAGGGTTCTTCCTGATCCAAGCTTCCTCCTTTCTTTGGTTGGCTGTGTGGCGCCAGGTACTACTTGTGGACCGCCTTCATCAACACGATCAACATCACCCACCCGAAAATCGAGTTCGACGAGGCCGGGGGAATCTCAACTAGCAAAACTTCGCCGTCACCCCACGAGGCTGACCCTTCAGTGAAGTTTTTGTTGGGGTGCAGGAGCTGCCCATCATCAACTTTGCTGAGACGATGACCGAGCAGTTGCTTGCCACGACTAACCCCTAGGCTTTTAAACAAGCGAGCCTGGGAGGCCTTGCGCTTTGGCTAGCAGATTTGATCCCCCCAAGCGGTTATTTTGCCTTGCCAGCATAAACGTCGAAGGGCACGATTTTGGACCACGCTCGGGTGTGCGCTCTGTTGCCATGCCTGATGTAGCTCGGAGCTGAAGACCTAGGTCCTAGGTTTCCTCAAATTCCGATGGATTCCTATGGAGAGGATGGCATTTCAGGGTCTCTGGGGTTGGGTGGTGACGCCCCACTCCGAGCAGCAACTGCAGCCTAGGTTTATGGCCTGGACCACGAACTCGGGGATCTTCTCGCGCAATGGCAGGGGCCTCGGGCTGCAGAGGTGCTATGGTTGAAGACGTATCTCTGTGCCCACTGACGGGGTTGCGAAGTGGCAAGCAGAAGTTGCTTTCTGAGGGGTTTTGGTTTCACTTACCTTCAGATGTTCGGGTTGCCACGCAAGCCAAAGCACTTCCTAAACCTTTTCCCTGAACCGTGCTTTTCTACCGAAATCCGGCATGGTGCAGCAATTGCGAGTCAGGCTTTTGCAGGTTCACTCGCCGAGGGGTTGAAGTGAAGTCAAAGTGGGTCAATGTGGGTCAACATCCCACAGTTCCAGGATGGCGTAATGTCTCAAAAGAGCAGTCGTTGGAGTCTTAGCAGCAAACAGAGTCGACAGATCAATTGTTATCAGCATTGTTATCATGGCAACAGCGAAAGCAAGAACATGCAAGAACCATGCTCTGACAGCTTCCTCCAAGAACTTTCGAGACTTTCCCTCTCCCAGCGCTGACTCCTTCACAGGCCCCGAAGCTCTCAGCGCACCTACACTCCAAGAAACCCTCGGCCAGCTCTGAAGCCTCGAAAGCCTTCAGACGTCCTATGCTACTCTCCCATTTGAGGTGTGGATATGTTTGTCTTCTGCCAAGCAGAGCCAGCAGGATTGCTGAAGAACACGAAGTGCGAAGACCCAGTCTGAGAGAGCTATTTCAGACTTGGGGGGGGGGGGCAGGCGGCAGGATTTATTTTTGTGTGTGATTGTCAACAAACTCTTGAGAAGTTGGGTGTTTCTCCAGTGCTGCGCCAAACCCCATCAGACCCCCAAGTGACCGTGCAGAGTCCTGGCTCAAGGACTTCTCCCCCCGAAACCTCCTCAACCCCAGCGCGACCCGGGAATGGGCAAAACACAGGTCGAGGGTCTACTTCATCAGTGTCCCCGACGCGGTCATCATCGAGGCCCCGCAAAGTCACGGGCCGCCTGAACCCTGAACCGTCAAGCTCCACTCCGTAGATGTCGATACGAGCTCAGCAGATCCCTCGCAAGGCCCAGGGCCTGGACTTCACTGTGCTGCAGCTGATGGCACGGGGCTTGGCAGGGCTCATGGACTAGCGGGTTCAGCTTTCATGCTTTTCGTCCTTGTCTCTATTTTGTTTTGAAGCTGTTTGCCTGGGCGCCTCGTTTTCCTGTCTTTCTGGGCGTTTCTTGCCCTTTGCCGAGCTTGCTCCCACGTGGCCAGCCTCCGCAAAGGATGCTGCATTCGGTCTGCTCCCGCAAATTGCAGAGAGCCGGTAGAAAGCTTCATCTTGCCAGCACCACTCAGCCTCGGTTAAGAGACATAGCGAGCTCGGAGGTCAACGAGAAGCACGGGGACGTTATCGCCGTTGGCCACCGATCTGGAAACCAGATGATTGCCAAGGGCTCACCTTGTTGTCATGGGGTCAGAGGGGGAGAAGAGCTCGACTTGGGTAGCTCAGGCTGCAGTGTTGCGGGGGCTCGCATGCTCACCACTCTTGCGTATCTTACCGGGCAGCACGCAAGGGGCAAGGGATTGTTCCAGGGTTGCATGTCCGAAGGTTTTCTGAGAACTTCGGCTAGACAAGTTGAGCTGCAGCATCCCGGTCGAGAAGGGTCGCCGACTTGCCGCGGGTCGACGTATTCTGTTTTGCAGACCGCGTAGGTCATGATCGCGAAGATCTACTACAATGCGGTGGAGGAGGGATGTCCCGGAAGCAATCTCGGGAAGGGGGGTGAAGGTGGGCCTTTTCGGACTGGCGATTTGCTGAGTTCGGGATCAGGGGATGTGCCGTTGTGCCAAGCAGAAGCAGGGGCAGGCGCAGAGACTTGGGGGAACCAGCCTCCGCACCGCCAGGGAAGGGAGGCTCCAGGTCAGTTCGTCGTGAGGAACACAGCAAGTCATAGCAAGTCCTTTCGAACATGGTGGAGCCCTCTACGAGCAGCAGTATTTTCAACCATTCCTCTGAAACGACCTTATTGACGGAAGCCTTGTATATCTGCAGCGATGGCTTCTCGTGCATCTTTCTCTTAGTAGACAGCTGGCCCCGTCATCCTCTGCGTTTTCCCAACTTTAGAGCTCTTGCAGAACTCCAAGCGGGTGGAATGGCTGTACACACCAGCGCTGTCCGGACGCCCAGAGAAGGCTTCTGCGAGATTTCGGTCGTTGAGGTAAGTTGAGGTATGTACCCGGCAACACCAGTTGAAGGGAGTTCCACTCAGAAGCACTCCCCAAAGAAACCGGGACTGAGGCCGCAGCGGCTCGTGCCGACGGAGGCCGAGGGCCCAAGGGGCCGAAGGGGTAAAGGCGAAGCGTTTCCCTGTGTGAACGCGGCCTACGGGGCAGTTGGCTGTGCTTGGTTGGTTGCGTCTACGGTGGGCTTCTACTGTGTGAGCACCCTTCTCGAGAGCCGCATCCACACCGTAGAGAAGATCTCCAATTGGTCTTCAACGCCGAGTCTGTTGCTCTCGTGCCCCAGACTGCGAGGACTTTGGGGACCTCTATCTGACACCCGGCTTGGCCAGGGACCCGGAAGATGCGTGACTCTCTTCGAAGGCTTTTTTCTTGGACCCTCCCAAGACTCATAGGTTGCACCATGCACCCCAGAGCCCCCAGGGCCTAGCAAGGGCCGTGTTGCACTTTTTTGTCTTGACATCCCCTTTTTTTGGAAGCCGCTTGGTCCCCCACAAGGAGGTCTAGGGGAGATCTCAGTACCAAGCCGAGGCTGTCAGCGAGCATCTCTTCAACAAGAGCTTCATCATGATCAGGACATCCTAGCGGATGCGCAGTCGCAGTTGCGGTCTCCCTGTTCCCCCTGCCCCTTTCCCCCCCCCCGCCCCTCCCCACCCTCCTCCCCCCAAAACTGCACTGGGGTTCAGGGGGTTTCATATGCCCATAACCAGCACTATCGGGATGTTGTTGAGAACAAAGGATTCCCCTAATTCAGGCCAAGTCTCTGCTCCGTTACTTGATTACTATGGGTGCTGGCTTGGACTTCTCTCTGGGGCTACATGGTGTAAGGGCATCGGAGAATGAGGCGGCCACAGGGTCATGATTCGGTTGCCTGCATCGCCGGAACATTCGGGGGGCACCCCTGAAAGAATTTTCTCAAGCTTTGGCGCCAGGAAGTACCCGATCGACTACACCGAGCCCAGGACACCGGAGCTCTACCCACCCATCCTCATGGAGGCTCTCATATGAAATCCACCTACTAGTACCTTAAGCTTGCCTGGCAGAAAGTGGGAGATCTGCACCTGCGCAACTCTGACAGAGCCAATCGTCTTGAGGGTGTGGGGAAAGACATTTGCTATCTTGTCGCTTAGCCCCTACAGCAGTGCGACCGACTTGTGAATGTGAGGTACGATGCCTCGAGTAGCGTAGGGCAGCGCCTCAGGCTCAACACAAACTTGGTCCTCCCCTCAACAGATTTACGTCCTTTAGCCCCTTCAGCCCCTTCGGCCCCTTCAGCCCCTTCAGCCCCCCTACACCAGAAAGAGAAGTCCCTGACGCCACCTGCGCAGATCAACATCCGCGAGCCGATTTACTTTGCCGCTGTCGACACGTTTGCTGATGGTTTCGACGGGGGGGGGGGGACTGCCATTGGCTCTTCTGCAGGGGCAGATGCCAGGAGGGATGTCCTTCTGCGTGTTCAAAATGCTTATGAGGTGTTACTGCGCAAGCTGGTGTCGCATGCTAAAGTCAGATCGGAGACTTTTTTTTTTGTGCTTCCCTTCCTTGGCCCAGCTCTTGACTTCAGTCCGAGGTGGGCCTTAAGGATCCGCAAGGTGCCGTGTAACGTGCTGTAACGAGAAGGCCTCTAGGATGGCCCTCGGAGCTGCTCCCGGGAGCTTTCGGGTAACCAAAGGTGAGAAGCGCTTTTTCTCAGCCCTCGAAAAGGCCCCCCACCCTCCCGAAGCTCTCTCAAGCCAGGACTGGTGTCCGGCAGAGTGCGACGGCACCGTCTCCTACAAGTCTCCCTACACGCAGCCTGGCGTTAGTGCTTCTAGGGCTTAAGGGGTTTTTCGGGGTTGAGGGATGGTCTCAGATTCTTTTCAGAATTCTGGTTGTCTAAGCTGTCATCACGTGTTTTTAAACCTTGTGCTTCCACTGGCACTGCCAAGGCCGATCTTCAACAAGGAGCCGAGTGGGGGCATGCGGGTTTGCAGCCAAAGGGGAGAAGGGCACAAGCATCGCAGGCAGAGACGAAAATCCATGGCAATCTCCAAAAGCCCGCTAAACGCCCAACAAATGTCCCAGCGTCTCCCCGAGCAATCGAAGTGGGACAGCAGCTTGACTTCTTTGCGCCGGCAGGAGCCGCGAATTCCGCTGTCGCTGGCAGCACCTGCCCTGGTCTATGCGCGCTTCAGCATGGAGGCGCTTGGTCTATGGGTTTAGGGTTTAGGGTTTAGGGTTTGGAGTTCGGGGGCAAGGGGGGTCGTAGCTCCTCGTGTGGATTTTCCTCGCAACTCGAATAGGTAGATTTGTTTCTTGTCGTTAGCTTGCAGGGATCATGCGGGTGGAAGCGGCTCGTAAGGAGAAGGGGGGGCTGCTTTGCTGATGCCAGCACGATGAAAAGCTATTGTCGAGAACAGCCAGACTTCAGTTGCCCCCCAAAACAACCCGCATTCAAAGGTGTTGCCTTCGTGCTACCGTGGCGGTTGTAGCTTTGAGACCCTTCTAGCCTCTCGGCCTTCCCGCGTCACTCACCTTCCTGTCGTGGCACGTACAAGGCGCTTTTTTAGCCCAAGAGGCTTGCTAGCTTGAATGGCGAAGTGTTCCGAGTCAGGCTTCGCAATTCGAGGCTTCCCTTGCTTTCCTTTTGATGGGCAGGCCGTGACCATCGACGTGAAGTTTGACCGTGCGACTCTTCGCGGCGCCTTGCCGCTGGACACCACCAACGACATCGTGCCACTCGCCCTGCCAAGCTGGGCTAAGCTCCGGGGGTACCGAGGGTGAACGCGAGAGGTGAACGCGAGAGGTGAACGCGAGGAATGCCAGGAATGCAGCAGGCTTGATAGGCTCGAAATTCAGGAGGGTCAGTGTTGCGAGTCCAACTATGGAGCAGAGCTAGGGTCATGTGACGTGCACCCTAGTTCGTGAGCGCCCACTTCTCGGTCGGATTGTTTCGTGGGACTTCATGCGGTGTTTGGGATTGAGGTTTGCATTCTCGCACCACTTCAAACACACACCACTTCAAGGGACCTAGGGGGCATGTCACGCGGAGTTCCTGTTGTGCTTGAAAAGCTCGAAGCCCCAAGCCTCCTCCAGCAGAACCCCGAGACAGAACATCTGAAAATCCCTCCCCCCCCCGCCCCTGAGGCCCGACATCATCGACTACACCACGCAGCTCACCGGCGATGCCTGGGATTGCGCCAACACCTTCGATGAGGACTCTTTTAAGGGACTCAGGGAGGGCTGAGCTTTGAACCCTCAGAGGCGCGTCTCACCGCGGAGCACATGCGACTCGCCAGGACACGGTGATTCTGCTGGGCCCCTTCCCAGAGACGTCCTGCAAATGGGCCAGTGCCCCAGGAAGGTTCCAAAGGGTTCTTCGTGCTTTCTCTCTCTCTCGGAGTTTCAAGGCCTCCGATGACCTGATCCAGATTTCGCTGCCGCGGCTCTTTGACGTCCAGGTTCCAAGTTCTTGTTGAGACGTCACATGCCCCCCTGGATCTTTGCGTTGGGGTATTGGGGCATGTACAGAGCCTGGCCACCAGGAATTGTTGTCGGGAGTCCTGCGCCCTGTTTATCCTATGGGCCCACAAACGGTCGCTTTAAGGCTTTCCAACAGCAGTCTAGATGTGGGTCCCAGGTTTCCTTGCTTCGCTTTGATTTTCAAACGATGGCCTCTTGGTCAAGAGGTTGTCGTGATGTGTCGTGTGTTGGCAGGTGCTTCTTCTCTCTTCTGGACCCCCCAGTATGGTAACTCTTATGTCGCGCACCTCGGCCTGCCCTCATTGCCAGGTGGGTGACCAGATCTTCCTCCAAGCGGACACCATCTACACAATCCCACGGCCACAGGCGAGGCCCCGTGTCCAGTGATTGCCTCCCGGGCCACCACCTGGGCCACGCGGCGCGAGGACAACGAGTACTCCATGGCCGCGCAGGGCGGCATCGCCATTTCCCTGCTCGGAGGCCCAGCGCAGCTCAGGCTGAGGGGCTCTAGCTGCTTCTAAATTCAGAAGGCTGAGATTGAATCCCACAACAGAAGTAAGAGACCCCCCAAACAACCCCTCTCTCCCCCCCCCTCCGCCCCTCCCAAACAAAGCCAAATTGCTGCACACCTAACGCAAATCCTCCTCAGTTGAGGCCAGATCCCTTGGAGGAGCCGGTGGTGATCATCACCGGGACGACGGAGGCGAACTCGAACAGTTCACTGCGAGTTGCTTCAGAACCTCCAAAACACAAAAAACATGGTCTTCCTTATAAGGGCAGTATAGGGATTATTATGGTTTATAAGGGCAGTGTTGGCATTATTATGGTTCATAAGGGCAGTATAGGGATGATTATGGTTTATAAGGGCAGTATGGTGTGTTTTTTTGGGGTTCTTAAGCAAGTAGTATTTCGTTGGGGTACTCTTATTAGTATGATGATTATGATTATGATTCTTCTTAAGTTATGATTACTTTAAATATGGTTCCTGGCCTCCTCTCATCTGAGGGGTGTGTGAAGGCAGGTTGAAGAGTTCGTCTCCCGAAACTTTCGATTCCCGCTCAGATCGACGAGTGCAGCCCTCTGCAGCTTTCGGCCAGCGACAGCTACTTTCTGGGTGGGCAGGCCACATACAGGCACCCCCACGCTCCATCAGTCCTTTGGGTTTCTGGAAGTTTCGGGGGGGAGGGGGAGTCAAGAAGGTCTTCTTGAGCCAGAAGAATTCTGCAGTCGGGGCCGGTGTCTTGGGACAGCAGCCAGGGTACCTCAAAACTGAGTTTTCACATCTCCAAAAAGCGACAAGTCGTTCAGATCCCCAAAGTCCGACGAAGTGCGTGGACAGGTGGGAGCTGGTCTCCTACCGGGACCTCACAAACAACCCGGCCGGGCGCATCTACAACCGTCTGCTCGGCCAGTTCTTGGACTTCGGGAACCCTGGGCGGCCTTCCCCCCAAACTCCTTCCACTCTCATGCATCGTGAGCTTGTCCTGGCAATCTTTTCATAGCCTTTCCCAAGCATGCCGCCAGAAACCGCGCTGGATCTCTTCCGCTTCGTGCTGAAGAACACAACAGATGCGAGCGCCCGAGCAGGTACCGTACGAGGTGTTCAGGTGTGTTGAGCTGAGCATTGAGCACTTCAAGAAATGTCGCAGAGCACTGCCCTGCCCTCACCTGACCGCAACGCTGAGTTCAACGATGGCCAGCTGGTCTCCCCGCCCGAGTACTTGGAGGAGGCTGTCGGCTTCATGATCAACCTCACGGCTCCTTGGCGCATGGGTGGGGGTGCAAGGAAGCCCTGGGCGGTTTCTTTTGTTTTGCTCTTCTTCGCAGCAGAGGCCCCAGGAAGCGGGACGCCTGTGTTTCTAGGGGAAAACTGTGGGCGTTTCTTTTTTTGGCCCCCGGGAATGGGAAATTTGTTTTTTGGCGGTCATAGTGTTTCTAGCTGCCTTGTTTCTTTTTGCGAGCAGGCCCGGGAAAGGGGAATCTGTATGTAGGGAAACGGGCGTTTTGTTTTTGGTTTGGGAAGCGGAAGCTGCTTTTCCAGTTGGGGGAAACTATGCGCGCTTGTCTTTTTCCTCGGCAGGCAGGCCCGTTTTCGGCGGGCACGTGCAGGAAGGGGAAACTCTGGAGGGAAACTACGGGCGTTTATGTTTTCCTCGGCGACTGCCCAAGAAGGGGAAACTGTGTTTCTAGGATGCCCTCAGGGTGTGCCAGGTCTGGAATCGTGATCTGCTCGCAGATGCCCACCAGAACCCTCAAGCAGCCCAAGCCCTCAACGTCTTGGTGTGTGTTGAGGTCACCAGTCGATGGGGCCTCTCCAAGAGCGAGCTGGTTGGCTGCTGAGCCCGGGAAAAACGGCAGGTGTCTAGCATACGGAGTTTGGTGACTTTGTGCAGTCGAACAGGGAGTTCGAAGTGGAGGTTCGGACTTTACTTTCGAACTTGCAGTTCGGCCAGAAATTAGCATGGAGTTTCCGGCCACGCATCAAGCAGGTGCAGCTGTGGCCTCGCCTCTGTAAACGCACCTGCAGGACCCAAAAGCTCAAAGGAGAGATCTTTTTTGCTTTCTCAGAGAGAGCTCTGCAAAGGTGGAGGTGACGACCCTCGACTTTCCGGCGCCTGGGCTGATGTATCAGATGTATCATGTAGCCTGATGTAGCCCCTGATGCAGCCGGACGAGGCACCCTCATGGTTTCCGCTGACGAAGCTTTCTCTGTTTGGGACATCAGCCTTTGCTTGAGCTGATTTGCTGTGCCGACTTCCTGTTGGCATTGCCGTCATTTTCTGCATCGGTTTGACACTCCTGTGCAGAGGGCAACAGCAAGCGTTCGTGTGTCAATACTCGGTATTACTCGATTTGACCTACACACACACCCCACAAGCCCGGATGAACGAGGCAGTCTCAGCTTCCGCATGGCTGCTTTCATGCTGCAAGGGCATGCAGAGCAAAGAGTGCTCTCTCTTCCGTCTTCTAGCAATTCGAGCAGCCTTCTTCTTTACTTGGGGACGTACGCTTGGGCTCCCGTAGACTGGCGCTTAAGGCACCCATGGTCAGCATCCTCGGGCCCAAAGAGCTGCTGGTCAACCGCCCGGCACCCACGTTCTGCTTTCTGTCCAAGTAGTCCAAGAGTGTACGAGTCCACCCCAGCCGTACACGAAAACACCTCAGCCTGGAAAAAAACTCGTTCGTAGCTTCCCGTGCAATAGGGCAGTGCAAGAACCCTGCTGGAAATCATCAGCATAGACCCAGCGAACACCTCCAGCCTGGAAAAACAAAGCCGCAAACTCCCCAAGCTGTGTAACAAGGCACGGAGCAAGTGTCCCTGCTGGCGAACGGCATACCTTCAGAGTGCCGAGGGGCCGAGATGTACTCTTTTTGAGATGGGATGATGGCATGGGATGAGCAGTGTAGAGCGGTCTCTCCTACAATGGGGGTGCAAGACGAAAAAATGGACACCTAATGTAGTCCCCAAATGGTAGGATTTCCTTAGAGGAAGGACCCCAATGAGGTACTCCTAATTTCGGATGTGCAACAGAGTCTTGCAACACAGGACGCGTTGCTTGGCATATTCGCGAAGAGAGGGAGCACTCTTGGAGGAAAGAGAGCACTCTTGGGGAGTTCTTGCGGAGGCTCTCCTTTTCAGGAAGGGGGGTATTTTGAGATGTTCACCCTTATACTAACAGTCCTTAAAAGGGATTTTAATAGGGGGTACTATAGTCCCTATTGAGGGCTGTTAGTACAAGGGGGAACATCCCAAGGGTTATTGTTAAAGGAAAAGTGGAAGAGAGAGAGGGAGCTCCCTCGACACGAAGTCCCGAGGCTCCACGGTGTCCCGGCAGCTGGGCTATCGCTGGTCTGAGACCACTGGGCAGCTGGACCTTGCTGAGTGCAATGGTTCCCTCTCTGGAGTTCCAAGGTTGTTTCTGTGTAAATTTTTGTTGGGGGGTCTGGGATGATGCGCAAAAACCCTTGAGACGGATCTGATTTGGGATGGTATTGTAGGCCGAGTTTTTTGGGAGGGGCCATTTTCCCCTTGAAGAGAGCACACCAGGACTGTCGAGGATCGATGTCTCAACTGAGAGGTCTCGAGCCTCTTTGGGCGATCGAATCCTGTGCAACGCGGGAGCGCTTGAGTTTTCCAGACCTTGCAGGACCTCCCGTTTATGGACGGCATTGCGGCAGACTCAGTGACAGAAGGACCTTATAAGCATTCACAAATATTCAGAAAACCTCATAAGCTCATAGCCTTCGACTCTCGATCCTCGCCTACGATGCTTCGATGAGACTTCAAAGGTCCTGCAGAATGCAGTTCTCACACAACAATGGCATTCGTGCGACGCGTCCTGGGGTGTTCATGGGGCAAGGAAGAGAGTGGAAGAGAGTCGCCGGGAGGGTCCTTTGCGTCGCGTCGTGTTTTGTGCCCCCGAGGTCTATACCACTCGTTCCTTGGTCATCCCGCCCTTCGTCCTGGAGCCCATTGGCAGCGGCGACGACGTGCAGGGTCCTCAGGGAGTGGGTCGATGTTCCCGGTCCTCAGGTGCACCTGTCTTAACTACGTTGAGGCCCAGAGCACTGAGACCAGGAACCCACATCGTGCCCTTGAGAACTTGAGCCCTTGAGACCTTAAGGAGGGGAAGCTCTCGGACAGGGCCTGGGGGAGCCCCTTTTGAAAGGAACCTTTACAACACCCTAACCCCTAAACCCTAAGCCCTAAGCCCTAAGCCCTAAGCCCTAAGCCCTAAGCCCTAAGCCCTAAGCCCTAAGCCCTAAGCCCTAAGCCCTAAGCCCTGAGCCCTGAGCCCTAAACCCTAAGCCCTAAACCCTAAACCCTAAACCCTAAACCCTAAACCCTAAACCCGAACCCTAAAGCCTGAACCCTTGCAAGGAACCTTTACAACTTCACCGTGGAGACCTTCGCAGTGGACAACCCGACCAGAGCGGCCTACGCGTCGGTCACTGTCAGGGCCGGGCTCCTTTTTTTTTTTTTTGTGGGAGTTGTTGCCACACTATGTATATGCGCACGATTTTAAGATATAGTATTCAGATAGGCGCTTCGAACATGGAGAGTGCTGTGCTTGTACTTTGGTCGCAGGTCCGACGCTCACCGGTGTTTGCCGCCTTGGCGACGGAGGCTGGGCGAGTGGGAGGAGGTGGTGGAAGGCGTTCCACATTCTTCTCGAGCTGCTTTGTTGCCACTGATGGCGCTTCGACTATTGATTTTCGGAAGGCGCCAAGAGAATGTAGCATGTAGAGACGGTGTTGGAGTCCACAAAAAACACCCTGATAGGTCTTGGATGAGAGTCAGAGAGTACTATTGGCCCTTCGAGGAGAAAGCCAGGAGTTTTTGTAAGGGGCATCGAAGCCGCGAGGATCGACTCATGACCCGTGGAGACATCCTGGTGCTCGATGCCCGAGAGTCGCAGGAGCTTGGGAGACTGAACTCTGAGTTCTTCCCCTCCAGAACATGCCCTCGGAAGATGTCAGGGGATGTGGACGTTCGTCTCTGTGGCCTTCCCTTGCTGCTTCGCCACGCTCTGCTTTTCGGTGCTTTTGGCGCTTTCTTCTTCTTCTTCTTCTTCTTCTACTTGTTTGCTTTGCTTGTTTGCTTTCCGACTTGCGGTGCTTTGCTTGGTACCATGCTGTCTTTGCTGTGTATCGTACCGTAGCCGTAGCCTTGCCTTGCCTTGAAACTTCAAGTGGCTGTTGCATTGTTCGCCATGTGGTCTTCTTTGTTTGTTGGTTGGAGCGCCCTGGGTGGATCCCCCAGCCGATTGGGGCAAGAAGTTGTCAGTATGTGTCACTCTCAGGTTTGCTACTTGTAGATCGCTTCTTGACGTTTGTATGTGTCGCTTCCTCCCCAAACTTGCCACATCCCTGGCTTGATCAAGTTGGAGCCGAAGCCTGAACCCAACTCTCCTTGAACCCTAAACCCTAAACCCTAAACCCTAAACCCTAAACCCTAAACCCTAAATTTCCCAAAACAAGCCACCACGGAGTCCACACAAAAAGGACCCCGACTACCCCACGAATCCCGGCATGACCTTCGTGGGCACCTTCATTTGGTGGTGCCTTACCCCGCTGAAGCCTCAGATGAGATGAGGGGTTTTTTGTTGGGGGGTTTAGGGTTTAGGGTTTAGGGCCAGCCAGAAGCGTTGTTCAAGAAACGTCCAAAAAGCACACGCGCTCCCTAAGCCCTCAACCTGGATGGCCTACTCTACCCCATGACCCCTTAATTACGGGCCTTGTTTTATAGGGTCGGAGATGAGGCCTCATCAGCCCTTGAAAGCAGAAGCAGCCGAGGGGCCGGCTCCCGTGCTTCGGAGCCAACTCCACGGGGCTCATCCCGCCCTTGGAGACCTGCATCACGGACTTCGACTCCAGGACCTCCCGAACCCCCCCCCTCGGCTTCCCCTCTTTCTCCGTGCGTGTGTGTCTTTGTGTCTTTGTGTGTGTTTGTGTCCGGGTGCAGGGTTTTTTCGCGCTCTTCGGGGTGCCGCTGTTAGGTTTTGGGAAGGTGCAGGATGGCAGGTTTGGTGGCCCCTTCCCCCCCCTTTCCACCCCTTTTCCACCCCTTCCCTGGAAGGATCGTGCAGGGAGGCAAGACTTTCTCGCTGCCGCTTTTCGATGAGGGCCTCTACTGCCGATGGGTCGGGAGCCCGGACCGAAGGGCTGAAGGGCTGAAGGGCTCGAACGCCCAAGCTCTGCAATCTTCTACCGTTTTCACGAAGCCTCGCAATCCCTTGCAGGCGCGTGGCGTCCTCATGGTCTCCACTGTGAACTTCACAGAGGGTGAGTACCTCTTCGAGGCAACTTCCCGTTGAGTCAAGCAGAGGTGGTTTAGCTGGGCCTGCCTTGAGTCGCCGAAAAGTCGAGAAGAACTCAAGTGCAATAAGCCATATGCCTGAGCTTTCCTACCGTGTTGGCTTTTGAGAACGGCCTCTTAGTTCATTCCAGTTTTTGAGGTCAGGTTGCAACTTGCGTGGCTGGATGTTGATAGCGTTCGTGTCATGCTCTTTATCCTTTTTTAAACTCTCATTCTCATTTCAGTCTCGCCTGGATATTTGGTTTCGTGGTAGGCTTAACTCAGACACTCCAGCGCAATCCTCGCACAGGTGCAAGCTCAAGCGAACGACGGCCGGCGCTCCAGCAAGGTCGGGCGGCGCCAACTGGGAGTACCCATTGTGTACCCGTGCACCGCAACTTGCGCTAGTGTCTTTCTTCACTGCGGGGGCCCTGAGTCCGAGACCCTCTGCCTTATATGCTCTTGGGTCCATCTCCCGACCTTCCTGGGTTGCTTGCTCTACTCTTATACCGTTTTTTTTTATTCTCCCGGGAACTTGCGGCACAGATTTTTTGAATATCATGAGAGAAGGGCGGTCCGCCTCAGCAGCTCGCTTTCCAAACCAGAGGCAAGACAACCCCGCCCAGCGGAAGAGAGCGGCAGCCTGCTCTAGAGTGATCTAGAAGGTTGGGGATTTTTCCAGGAAAGGCTCTCGGATTTGTTGGTCTAACTCTTGCCAACGACCGCCTGGGCAGACCGTGCGGATCACGATCACGGAGCTGCGGGGCACCCAGTGCACCCCAGTGCGCCCGAGTTTCAAGTCTTAGGGGCTCTTCTGGCAAAGCATGGCAAAGCCCTCCGACGACCCACGACGATGCTCGCCGCAGGGTGGTCCCTCAGATCCTCCTCTCCATCGACAACCCCATGCCCAAGTTCCCGGTGACTACCGAGGCCGCAGTGGTCGTAGTTGCTTCTTAGGAGGTTTCGGGCGTAGGTTTTTGGCAGAGAAGGGTTCTGAGAAGTCCAAGACGTGCCTGGGCCTCTAAACTCTCTAAATGCATTTTTAGAGGCTCTCCGCGAAACGTTGAGTCTGCTACTCGTCAAAACTCCTTCCCCGCAGCGTCTGCTACTCGTAAAGGCCTCCCCCCGCAAAAGGCTTCCCCCACTCGACACCAAAACAAACGGCCCTCCCTGCAATGCTCCGCAATGCTCCGCAATGCCAGATCAGCATCTCGGGAACCGTGGAGTCGGAGTTGGATCCGACCGTGGAGCTGGAGTTCTCCTGGCGGGTGCCGGGCTAAGAAGTCTGCACAAGGCTGGGCGGCTTTCCAAAGCAGGGCAATGGGTGAGATGGTCTGCCCAAGGTACTGGTCTTCTCGTCGAACCCTCTCTACGATGGCGACCTTGCGCGAGAAGCGGAGTCGGACAACGACCCTACCACGGTGTATTTAGTGGACAAGCCCTGGGCTCGGTCGAATGTTTTTGCTGGTCTTTGAGTAGGCATAGTTGGCGAAGACTGCTCTCAGACTGTCAGACTGCTCAGGGACGGTGCGTCGCAGTGAAAGTTGAGACAGGGTGTGAGATGAAATAGAAGACGCCTGCTCCCCCCCAACCCCCCACCCGACAAGGTGGCTCTCGGAACACTCGAATACAATTTGTCATCTTTGCCCCGAGGATGGTGTACATAGACCAAACCGACGTCTACGACGTTACAAATGCGTCGCGGTTCTTTACCAGGCAAACTCAGGGAAGTTCACAAAGGCTTTTGCGGACTTTATATGAGCGTTCGACGTGCGGAATTGTTGAGAGCATTTGGTGGGGAGTGGATGTCGCGGGCTTTTCAAGGTTGTTGTTGAGCTGTAGTCCCACGTGCAGGCCGGACTCCCCGAACATGATCATCAAGGCACGCCTGGCTCGATTGGACTCGGCACTTACAGCCTGTCTCATCCCGACAAGTCAAAAGCTCAACCCACTGCACCTCTCCGAAACCTCAGAGAAGCCCCAGAGAAGCCTCAGAGAAATCGCCGAAATCCTCGCGCAGCCCTCAGCGGTGGCCAGGGGAACGTCTTACAAGAGGACACGATTTACAAGCCGTGGGCCCCAGCCATTAATCTTTTTGGGGTTTTAGATTCTGCTGTAAACCTGAGTCATGCAAGACTCAGCATGGACTCAGTGTGGATTCGGCCTAGCCCCCTTCATGTCCTGCAGAAAGAGAAGCCCTCTGAAGCGCATAGCAGCACGAGGCCTTTGAGCTGCACAATTGGGGGGCTTCGGTTCATGTCTGCATCTCTGCGTGTAAGATGCAATATGCCCGTCGGGTGTGAAGATTCAGCTGGGATTTCCACTTGACAGCAGGGAGTGGGCCATAAAAAGAGCAGAGGGAACATTTTGGAATTTTGATGTCAAGTTTTAAGCTGAATTCTGAGCTTCTCTTGGCTTGGCTTGAACCCCCCCCTTCCCCCTGCAGCGACGAAGCGCGCTCTCTCACCGTACAGCATGGGCAGCCTAGATTGGGGAGTTGAGAGGCGCGAAGATTCCTCTGTATTTTGCTTGCGTCGGATGGATGAGGCCCCGGGCCGGGGTTGCTTGGGGTTGCTGAGGATCCGGCTGGTGATGACCGTCGGGGGCGGCTTGGTGGAAGGCTACTCAGATGCGCGCTCGCTCAGATATCCTCAAGCTTGCAGAGCATCTCCTTCAGCGCCGGTTTGCGTATCTGGTTTGGTGCTGTGGATTCAAAGATGTCTTTGGGTTTGTGCACCCTGGAGCCTCTAGACTTGCGAAAGAGAGGCCCGAAAAAGGAGATCTTTGTTGAAAAGTTTTTCAGGGAGGTACGAGTGGTTTACCTTGTGGGACTCTTGTGGGCAATTGCAGCATATGCAGCATGCTTTCTGTCACAAGCCTTTGCATGTTGTGTTCTGAGCTTGGGGTGGAAAGGTCTCCCTCCAGACAGCTGGTCTTCCGCCCCGGTCCGGGACCCTCATCTCTGCGCCGCTCAACGCCACCATGGACACCAAGAGGCCCACAGCTCACAGAGCTCACAGAGCTCACATAGCTCAAGCGGGGCGACGGCTGCAACCAGTGGGCTTGTCCTCCTTTAAGTCGCAGCTCCTGTCAGGGTGCTCTCGGCCCCGGACTGGGTGGCCAACGACTTGCCTTTGAACTATCAGTTCGGCTCGGGCCTGAGTGTGCGTTCATCATTGTGCGTTCATGTGTACACCCACTTGCACCCACCCTACTTTGGTTGTAAAGAGGCTCTCTACGAAGCCAAGCTAAGCCAAGCTCCTCCTGTGTTGGCCGCCCCTGGCTTTCGAGCAAAGCGCCCAAAGAAGCAAACTCAGCGAGAGCCTGTCAGAAACCAGAGAACCTGGACACGTGTTACGCAGGGAACCCGAACCCCTGCGCCTGGAGCCCTGAGGCTACATCCATTACTTGGGAATCGGTGGCTGCCTCGGTGCCGAGTGATTCGAGAGTCCAAATACAGGAGGCTCTGTACCCACAAGTGCCCCCCTCCGACTCACCAGGCTGATCAGAAGCTCGCATCGGTCCGATGCAGAAAGCCCAGAAGCTCGCAAGGCCTGGACCCCATCACGGTTCGGCTGAACACGGCGCCGCAGCGGGTGCAGCAGATCGAGGCGCCTCGATGAGGGCTCGGGGAGGGGGGTGAGGGAGGGAAAGGGAGGGAAAGGGAGGGAAAGGGAGGGAGAGGGCACCCGAGGTTTGCATGTCTTAAGAGCTCTATAGAGCACTGATAAGTACGTTGAGAAAGGATCTTGCTGAGCCTTAGCGTGCTTTTTGAGAGCCCTGGGATGAGGTGGAAGAGCTTCCGATCGGCGAGCCAAGCACCGGCTTCTCCTTGCCCGAGTCTGAGACCAAAAACAACACCAGAGGGCACATGCCCAATAGGCCCATAGGATCCCATAGGCACATAGGGCTTAGCCCCCAACTTGAGGGCTGAAGGGTGGGCTCTGGGGAGTTCTGGTGAGTTCGTGGTGGCTTTTTCCGGGATGTTGCGCTTTAGTTCACATGGGCCCAGATGGAGAAGTAAGAAACCCTGGAGTCGAGACTCAGGGAAGTCTTCGTGGACATCATTACCCCCTTCGGGGCCACCACGACGAAGACGATCCAGGTGCGGGATTCTTCTGGGGCCCCACAAGTCGCATGTCTCTTGGAAGGGAAGCGCCGGAAAATCTATCTGACTGGGGGCTCTTAAGGCGCTGCGGCTGTCAAAGGGCCCGAGGGAGCCCGTTTTGGGTTTGTCCGGAAACCTTTCTGAACCAAGCTAGGTCGGGCTTTCCGTTTTTCAGGCTGTTTTTGGCTGCTGTAGCTCTCTGAAAAAGCGTCGTCGCTGGGACCTTCTTGTTTCTTTTTTGGTAGGCGTGGGATCTGAGTTCTGAGTTCTGAGTTCTGAGTTCTGAGTTCTGAGTTCTGTGAGCACCGGAATTGGTGGCTTGTGGAGGTGTTCTCTCTACCGCCAGAGAACGCGACGGCCATCATCAACGCGAGGCTGGACGAAGCCAGGACATCCGACCCGGAAACGGCCGTGACGACGCTCATGACCATCATCAACATCAATCAGGTGCTGCGGGCTGCATTTTGCTGCTTTGTAGCTCGGAAGGGCTAGGATGGCTAGGGGCCAGATGTCGTGCAGCACAGCTTACAGGGTTTTTAGGCGTTTGGGCGCAGGCGCCGCCCTTGCCCCCGGGCATCCCGCCCACGCCGGAAGACCAGGCTGTGCTTGAGCAGGCCGGCAAGGTAAAATGAGCAGAGGCCATGACATAGTGCATAGAGGTTTTGGTAGATGTGTGGTACTGGTTTGGTAGAGCTCGTATGGCTCCGATATTTGTGGTGGGAGGTTGTTGTCAAGTTGGCTTGCGGATTGCGCTTCATTCATGGAGTGATTCCAGTGAGTTTGCACCGTGTCTGCAACATGAGAAGCTTTCCATCAACTCATGGCGTGGCATTCGTGCCACATGCCTCCGTGACCTAGATCACTCGAAGCTTTGCACCTCAGCAGGTCCGTGAAGTCATGGTCCAAGCCACGGCGGCTGCTCCGGTGACCATGAACACGGCAACAAACCAGGCCATTGGGCGGACACTGGCTCCGGCTCGCTTTGCTCTTTTGATCTCTTTTGCTCTTTGTCGTTCGTGTCTTTTCGTCTTCTAGTTCTTTCTCGTGTTTTTCCTCTCTTTTTTGTTTTGTGTTCTTTCGTGTTCTATCGTCTTTTTCTTTCGTTGCTTTTCGTGTTCTTGCGTGCTAGATGCTCGGTTGCAAGGAGCGGAAGTCCAGGGGTGTAGAGGCATGTGTCCCTGTCGCGCCTGCGGCACACGTGCCCTCATCCAAGAAGGAAGGTGGCGAAGAGGGCATGTGGAGTAAAAATGTCGAGGCTTGAAGGATGCAGTTCACAGGAGCGGCATCGCGTGTCTACCACCGGAGAATGATTCTTTCAAGAAAGGCAGTAGCGGTTGGCACGGTTTTTTCTCGCTTTTGGTTGAGGTGAGACCGGTGGCCCAGTGTGGCTCTTGTTTGTCTTCAGAGTGGTGGTTTCTCGCAGGGAGGAATGCGCTTTTTTTTTTTTTGCACATCTTCGCCCCCGGCAGCTGGGAAACAACCAACGGGGACCCCGACGGGTGGACCCCTTAAATGGAAACTGTGGTTTCGTTTGCGGGGAAACTAACAGTGACCAGTGCGGCTCTTGTTTTCTTCCGGCGGAGGTGGTCCCCACGTGGATGAGAAATTATGGTCCCCGCGGAAGGGGATTGCGGCCTTTCCTTCGCACATGTTTTCCACATTTTGGCTCCCCGCAGGCGGCTTGTATTCTCAACCCGTTCTCCCGAAGCCTCCGAGCCGGAATCTTTTCGGCACACCACGCTGGCTCCGTTCCCTGCTGGCCCCCCCCCCACCACAAGTTTATACGGTCAGTTCTCAGAATTATGGTCCTTTTCGGGTACCCTCCATTCTAGGGGTCGCCTAAGAATAGTAACCCCCCAAAGGGACCAGAATTGAGAGCACTGACCATATGTGCTCCAAAGAGCCGTCATGGAGGCCGTCGTGACGAACTCGCTGATCGACCAGGGCCTGAAGGACCTAACCCCCTCCCCCCCTTGCCTTGTTTTAAGGACCTCCGGCCCCACTATGTAAAGCCCCCTGTCCCCCTTAAAAGCGAGAGTGCAAGCTTGGGCGCTGTTAAGAAAGGAATAGAGAGAGCCCCCCCCCCCCCCCGGCGTTTCTTGTTTTTTTTCCAGGGCAATTGAGGATGGCCTGGGATGGTATTGGATTACTTTTGTGGGTTTTCTCTCGCGTTTTTGCAGGTTTTTTGGCCTTGACGCTCTTGCAGGTGCGATCACGGAACCTTTCGCTCCCCGAAATCCTCTGAAAACCCTTCGAGCTGAAAAAGGTTCCGATTCGGCCAACGTAAAGAGCCCAGAAAGGGGGAGAAAGCGGTGGCTCCAAATTCGTGTCCGACTCTCAACAGCGCCCCTCCACCCTCCGAGGATGTGGAGTCCATGAACCTTCTCGAGGACTTGGTGCAGAAGTCGGCTTCGGCAGGCCCTGTCGCGCCATGTCACGCCATGCCCTCCGCCTTTGTGAAACCCGCTGAAACCTCCGGCACTATCAAAAACAACCTCGAAACCCTGCACCCCCGTCAAAGCTTCAGACTTCTTCAGACCGGCACGCAAACTCGCCCGCTGTTCTCGCTGGTTGTGGGAGCTCTTTTGTTGCTTCGGAAGAATTGGACTCCAAACTTCAAAACTTCAAAATTCGTGAAGTGTTCAATTTGCCTTAAGTGGAGGGACAAAATAGCGCCTAAGGAAGAACTTAAAGAGAAGAACAAGCAACATCAAGAGATGCAATGCAAGAACCAAGACAACAAGCCAAAAAAACATTATTTGGGAGCATTAGAAAGACCGAAGCTGATGAAATAACAAAGCAACGAAGTTCGTTTAGCTGTGAGTGTGGTGGCAGCTCTATACAAACAAACGAACTAAACCACAGTTTTGAACGCTTGTTCCTTGTCACCTCGGCAGCCGGGCTGGCCCATGTGGAGTGGCCTCCAAGGGGCCTCCAAGAAATGTCCAGGCATTCCAGGAAAGGTGGCAATTTTGCGGGGCGAGGGGGGCGGGGCAAGAGCCCAGGGCATGGGCCCACAGCTGGAACTCAGGGGGGGAGTGATGCAAAGTGGGGAAGGGTTGCTGCTTCCTCTGGAAGCTCAGGCGAACTTCAGAGAACCGAACCCCCAAAGCACCGATAAAAGGAGCAGCCATAGCAGCAAGATTAGCGAGTTTTTTCGTTTGCCAGTATGATGAATCGCCATGGACTATGACCTTTCGCGTTACCCTTTCCTTTTACTTTCTGTGCCGGTGGCTTCATCTTCTGACCTCTTTTTGAGGCCCCACACTGCTGCCCGCCACATGCGAGTGTCTTCATAGTAGTGTCATGATAAACGACGATTGCATTACCCCATGCTGCTGCAGTTTGGCATCACTAAGATCCTCTGCTTTAAAGTTTTGTGCTGCCCGCTTGCTTTGCCGCCATCATGATGCGTGTTGTTGGTTCATTGTGCTACTTTCGCGGATTGTCGTGCCAACCGACTTGCTCAGGTTGCATCCTCGGGGCCACTAGAGTGCGCTGGTGTAGCCTGGGCTCCCTTATCGTCAGGACCCCCATAAGGCACCCCCAATTTCCGAAGCCCCCACCTTTCCCGAAGTGTGATCAAGTTCTTTTTTTTTGGGGGGGGGGGGGGGGGGGGGGGGGGGGGGGGGGGTGAGACTCCATCTTGCGAGGCCTCTTCGACATCAACGACCCGTCGCTGATCACAGCACCGGCCTGATGGGCCCGAATGCCCCCCCCCCTACCCCCCCCTTTCAAGGGGTTCAATGAAGATTTTTTCCAATGATTTTTCAATATGTTACTGGAGTTCCATGCCCCTTTTGCCCTTTTTTGGGAGTTTGGGGTTTAGGGTTTAGGGTTTCAGGGTCGGCAAGATGCGTTTGAGGTTCCCGCTGGGGCGGCTGCATCGTGTGTTCGTAGGGGGTCCTGAAGGCGTCCGGATGACCCTCTATGCAAGTCTTGCAAAGCCCGCAAGGCCCTCCAAGCCCTTTGAAACCTGCTGGGCCGTTTCGAGTCTTGGGTTTCAGCTTCGCACTTCAGCGTCGGGGGCGTGCTTGTTGGGGTCCGAGGGGTTGTCATACTGAAAAATTATGCCCCTCCAAGCTTGAGAGCAGCCCAGACCTGCCTGGTTGCCATTGGCAACATCCTCCCTGACGATGGCGCGCCGACGTCTGTTGATCCCCTCGGGAGGCCGCTTCGCAGAGCTGCAGTTGCTAGAGGCTTTTGTACCTCTCCGTGGCGGATTCGGCAAGGAGGTTCTTGTCTTCAGGATTTGGGAACGAAACTTCTAGCCAGATGCCATGGGGGACTAAGTGTATCAACGATGCTATGGAGAAAGGCAAAGTAGGGCCTCAAGGCCTTCGGTCGCAAGGCCAAGTGCCTCATCCTCTTTCCTCCGCATGCTCAGCCCGGGGAGTGCAAAGTGCCGCATCCCAGGAGCGTCGGCATGCAACGGTGCGGGGCCTTAGCTCTACTTTCAGCCGAGCAGAGCCACAAGTAATTCGTGTTGATTCCTAGAAAACTCCACGAATCGACTACTTCTGGTTGGATGTCCCTCACTGGTCGTCAAGTTCATCCTCCACAACAGACAGAATCCGAAAGATCGAACAGCAAAGCCGAGCATCCTTCAGTGGCTCAAGTTTTTGCTTCTTGGTGCTTTACATAGCAGCAAGACTTGTTATGACTGGTGAGATGAGCTCAATCGCATATCAAAAACCCACGCAGCTGCCGGTGCCCCTGAGAGGTGGTGCCCTCTTTTGCCCTCTCCTGCCCCACACAGAAGCTGACACTCAAAGACTCCCAGGCATCCGAAAGCTCAGAGCTGACCGCAAAAGTGGGGGCGTTCGAAAATAAGGGACCCGCAAATATTTCCCCCCAAACAGGAGGATTCCCTTGTAATGAGGACCCCAAGAAGGTACTCCCTATTTTTCGGAAACCCCCCATATGACTCCGTTTGAGGTACACTAGCTTCACCAGTCCGATCGAGGAGCTCACCTATGCTCCCTGGCAGCAGAGCGCTTCGGGATCCAGAAAGTGGTCTTTCCAGGGTTTTTGGAACTCCACCTCAGAGAGGCTTCATTGAGGGGATGTGGGAATTTGGGGAAGATTGTGGGTGACCACGGCAGCTGTTGAGTTAAAGGGGTTTCGACCTTTTCTGATGTTGGAGGTTCTCCTAGTCTGTAGGCCTTGAAGCCGTAGCATGGGACCCATCCGGCCAACAACGAGTCCAACACCCGGCTCCGTTGTAAGGAGTACCAAACCGTGCGGGCGAGCGATGAGGAGCTCATCGCCAGGTCGGAGGGGGCAGTTTGGACGTCCACTTGTCTCGGACACATCAAGGGGGTGGTTCAACCTGAGAGGTAAGTCGCTCAGAGGGTGATATGCCTCTGTGGGAGAAGCAAAGAGGGCTGGCAAGGGGGCCTGGATACTTTGAAAGCCCCTGGCAGGTCCAGAGGCCCCCGAAGCCTCAACCCACTGAGTGCACAGAAGCTAACCAGATCTAACCAGGGGCTCACCCAGACAACGTAGGCTCTGAGAACCTGAGAAGAGAAATGAAGAGAAACGAAGAAGCAAAGCTAAGCAAACAAGAATCGGTAGCCGAGTAGCAGAAGAAGGGTTGTCGTCGGTTCCATGTTCCCGCTGCCCCGCAGTCAAGTGCTCAGCACGATCAATGGCCGCCAGCCGCAGAACCACCCGATGCCCTTCGGGAGCCCGGCGGCCCAGCGGTGTGATGTGAAGCGACGTTTTATGAGATTTGCTGAGGATGGGGTCGAGATGAGGAGAAGAGATGTAGCTCGAAGTTTGGAAGTTTGGTGTTTGTATATGTTTGCAGGGCGTGGCGGGGAGCTGTGTGACACTGAGAATAAATGAGATGGGCTAACAGCGGCAAGGGCGCAGAACTGAGTTGACCGAAATGTTTAGTGTGGTGCCTGCAGAGTATCCCAAGTCTTGTATTCTCCTGCTCAGAGCCTTTCTCTACAGCCGAAGCCGTCGCCTTCCGATCTCTGGCGCCTGAATTTCCTCTGCCGGGCCCAGATGAGCGCGTGGTTGACAAGTGCGAGTCGGCCTACTGCGACACCATCTGGCTGCTTTGCGCCCTTCTGAGAGCGTGACATAGTTTGAGAGCTTCTTTTTTGAGAATTTGATGTCGGCGCGGGCGCCGATGGAAAGGCCCGCTTGAGCAGTGACTGCTTTCGAAGGGCGTGGCAGATTCCAGAAACCTGCAAGTGATAACCCTGGGGCAAGCCTCGCAAGCCCCACGCCCCAAGCCCCCTCCCGAACCTCCCCTGTCCACAAACAAATACATGAGGCCCAAAAATGCCTGGCGGCCAGGTATTCATCAGGAGGGGCGAAGAACGCTCAAGTTCATGTGCTGCGACGCGTGGGGATCCCAGGGGGCCGAGAACAGCATCTAAGATGGCACCCTCATTTTCTCGGCTACGGTATCCGCTATTCTCATCGTACCTCCCCCCTTAACAGCCCGGGCCTCCCCTGTAACAGGCCTCCCTCTGGCCCGTGTGTCAAGGCCGAACCCTGCCACGTTCTGCGAGAATCCGCCGTGCTGGTTCTTTGGCAACAGGCGGGCTCGAACGCCTTGGGGGGGGGGAGCGATAAGCATATCATGCAAAAGAAATGCTTTGACCCACCTGGCACCCTGTGGCGAGAGCGAAAGATGGAATCCGGAATCCCTCAAGCTCCGAGAAGTATGCCAGAGTAAGCCACTTCCAAGAGTGAAAAGCCGGACAGGTGCCCCGACGCCGGCCACGGCGGTGTGGAATCGCCTTCGGCCTCGGCCGCGGCGCTTGCGGCCTCGCGAAGGCGTCCTCTCATCAGGGGATCTGGGCTCTTCAAGTAAGGCCCGAAGATTTTGGAGGGGGCTTCAAGGCTTCAAGTAGGTTCAAAGCCCAAAAGGAGATCCTACGGGAAGGATCACTGTGCACATTGTCGCGAGAAGTATTGAGACGTTTTGGGAATTGGCTCTTGCTCGCCCATCTCCCTGAGGTTGAAAGCCCTGGAGAACATGACGTGCCGTGGCGAAGTGGTCTTGGGATGGTGGAGTTTCTTGTTGCTTCTTGCGGGGAAGCATTCCCAACAAAGCCAGGGAGAGCGTTGGAAGCAATTGAGTGGTGGGTCGTTGCAGACAACTTGAAGACCTTTGCCAGTTTGTACCTTACAGTTCTTCGGGGCCCCGTATGGTTGGAGGTTGGTACGGCATGTGCACTTGTGTGCATTGCTATCAACCTCAGCCCTGAAGATTCTATGCTATGCCCCTCTGTTGTGAAGTTGTCGCATCCACAACGACAGCATGTTCCGCAAGCACTGAGGTAGCAGCTCTTTGACAACAGCACAACCTGAACTGAAAACCTAGGGCTATCGATGGCTCCGCTCATTTCTGAAGCCCGTTCCTGGCAGCTGAACTCTCAGGGAGCGTCAGCTTCAGGCAGCCGCCTGCTCAGTCATGCTGTTGGGCCTTTCGCATCTGGGATCCGGAGTTTTCTGCTTTTCTGCCCAGTGCGTCTGAAGTTCCTAAGCAGAATGAGCCCTGGGATGTGCCGAGATCACCACTGCCGTACCGACACCGGCGCCGCTGACGGTGCCCAGCGAGTTCTGAAGGGCTTCAGATGCTTCGGATGCTTAGGGGGGTTCTGTGTCATCTAAATGTCAATCTTTCGTGGCTGTCGAATTGCCGTCGGAGGTTCCCTTAGCTGATGGTCTGGCCAACTGGCCAGCCTGTGGATGGCAACGAAATTATTGAGACGTCGGTTGAGGGGTCAAAGGACTGTCGGGGGTGATCACTTCGCTTATCTTTGCTTGGAGATACCCGTGGCAACACGCAGCCAGAGCGAACGCAAACTGGACCTCATCGGCATGGTTTGCTTACGCGCCCGATTTTAATTGGGCCCCACTCCGCCCTTTTCAAGGGTGCTGGTGCGCTGCTGGTGAACCTGGAGAATGTTGGGGGCTCGATGGGCTCGGCAGTCTCTTCCTCTCCAATCCCTCTTGCTTGTCGCAGGGTTTTCAGAAAGGTTTTTGCAATTTTTTTGCCGTGTTCCCGGGAACATCTTTGAGCCATCTTTTCATCTGACCCCCGCTTTTTGAGACCCTCTTTGGCACCAAGGCTGAGAAGCCCGTCCTGCGAGACGTGCGCCTTGCGATCCAGCTGGGAACTCAGTGCGCTCTCCACGTGGTCCCATATGCACAGACGATCTCTTGCCTGCGCTCTGCGCCCTCTCGTTCCCTCACTCCCACTCCCTCTCTTTATCTCTCTATCTGTCGAGCTCTTTCCCTTCTGTCTGCAATGCCTTGTGGTTGTCGGCGGCAGTGCCTGGAAAACCTGCATTTAAACCCTAACCATCTCACCCCCAGAAGCCCGAGTCCAAGAAGTACACGCAACCTCCAAATCCAAGAAGCTCCAGACGCTCTCACAGTTCCCCCAAAAGGCAACCCCTCAAACAAAGGCGCCCCCCCCCCCCCCCCCCCCCCCCCCCCGAGCGGCTCCCCGGTGCAGGCGCCAGGAAATCGAGGCGGAAGCCAAGCTCAGGGCCTCGGCACAGATGGAGGCCCCACGGCGCGATGTTTTTAGTGAGATTGCGCGACGCCAGAGGGGCTGTGTGCAGACAGTGGCGTTGTTGTCTTTCATGAGCATGGCCCAACGGGGTGGAGCGGAGTGTTCACACGGTCGCGGCCGGGCCCAAGCCCTGCGCTGATATGGAAGCTAGGGGAGAGATGCAGGGCTGAGCATGCAGACTTGAGCTTCATGCCAAAGTATTCCAAAGTCCTTGTAGCCAACGTCGCATCTCTCAGAGCTAGGAGCCTTTAGGAGCCTTGATCTCTTAGCCGCCGCATTTGACTCCACATCGGGCAACTTGGCTCTTTAGCCTTATAGCCTTGGAGCTTTTGACGCCGCAGCCCCCTGGTGTGATGGCTACGGATGTCGTAGAAGTGGCAGTCGGGGACTACGTGGAGGCCGAGGGGTTCAAGCACCGGAGCTAAGTACCACACGAAGCGGTTCCAAGGACCCTCAAAGCGCCGAAGCCGCCCGAAAGCAAGCGCCCTGCATGGGTTTGGTTCCTTTAGGTCGTAAACGATTTTGGATGCCAAAGATCCCTAAGCCGATTGACTCTTTGATCACCGTGCTATCTACGCCGTGTGCGCGACTGCAAGCCCTGAGTGGAAGGACTTTGTGGAGGCTTGTGGAGGTACCATGAGTTTTCACCCTAAGCCCCCCCCTAAGAAGAATCAGGATCAGAACTCACAAATTCTAGGGATTTCTAAGAAGAATTAGGATCAGAAACCACAAATTTTTTAGGGGACTCCCGTCGCCAGTAGGGGCGCGGGCCAGCAAGTTTAGGTTTTCTGTCCAGGCGTATTGGCCGGATGACGACCAGTGGCTTCCAGCTCACATCTCGGATTCTTGGCGAGACTCCCGAAAATCCCTGGCTTCCCTAAACCCTAAACCCTAAACCCTAAACCCTAAACCCCAAACCCTAAACCCCAAACCCCAAACCCCAAACCCCAAACCCTAAACTTGGTTGTATTCCTTTGCGCTTTTGGATCAACTTTGTGAGCTTTGTCCGACTGTCTCCTACGTCATGTTGGGGGGTGTTTTGCGTAGTCCGTGCCGCGCGAGCCCCCCGAGTTCCCTGAATCCTCTGCCTGACGCTATCAGGAAACAAGACAGGCGCCCTTAGAACATGTGGATCCTTGGTAGCAGGACATGCTCCAGTCACGCCCTCCCGCAGTCCCCCCTGAAAAGAGAGAGAGAGAGAGAGAGAGAGATGAGCCCAGTCGCAAAGGCGATCTACGAGGATGGATCGCTGAGCATCACGTGGGAGGACAGCTAGGGGGTGTCCGTTTTGAGGTTCCTTATGGGGGGCAAGGTTCGTGGTTCATACAGGAAAACCGAATTCCCCGCGCACTTTCGGAGGATGGCTCCCTCAGCGACGTCACTGCAGACTTTGTGCGCAAGCCTGCCGCGGAGGAGGCCAACTTAAGAGCTCCGTTGCCCGGCTACCCCGGAGCTCAGAAGTATAACTAGAAGTAGTGTGAGAGGCGGCATTGTGCTCACTCGCGGGTCACAGGACTCACGCTTCATGCTGCAGCCCATTTTAAGGTTTCATGTTCAACCTTACCTCTCCACTTTATCTGCTGCGACTCTGCCCTTTCCACGGGGTCGGTTTCAAATGGTTTCGATTTTCGATGCCATTTGAGTCTTTTTTTCGATTGTCATTTCAATGCCTGGCACCTGGGGGCGTCGTAGTCATCCGTTTCTGGCATCCTATGCTAACATAGAAGGGCTGCGACGTGCCGCTTGCGTAGTATCTTGATCTCGATTTGTGGGGAGGTTGCTGAAGGGCAGGGCGGGGCGCCTTGAAAAGTGGAGATCCTCCAGTTGTTGCCAAGGGCATCCAAAGGCGCACGCTCATTGTAGTGTGTGTTCTTTCGCTCCTGCGCAGGAACTTGTCGAGGTCGCGGCGGATGCTGAGGCCACCGAGGCATCCGGGAATCATCGGGAATCTCTCTTTGTGAGGGGGCTCTGTCCAACACCCCGCTTAATCCTGCTTCGGGTGAGATCGAGTCAGTCGACGGTTTACATAGTAGCATTTGTTCAAGGAAGCGCCGCTTTGCCGGAGCAATTGGGCTCCACTCGCTGTTGCGCACAGCAAAGTACTCCGAACTTTTTTCCTTCCCTTGGAATCATGGCACGTTCGTCGTGGAAAGTCTTGCACGTTGCAGCTACCTATGACTTCGTGAAGGAAGTGGCCTGGAACAATGGAATCTTGCTGGAAGCTCCTGGCAAGTTGCAGCCTTGCGAGGCTCTGAAAGCAAACCGACAAGATGATTGGACATGGGAGCCGCCGCAGGCTCCAAGCTCCTAAACGCAGCAGCGGAGGGCCATCGGAAGCAGGTCAGGTCCCAACGGTGTGAGGAAAAGGTGATGGCCCGCGTGTCCTGGAGTTCAAGGATGTTGTGGCCAAGCATCAGGTTGCAACTGCGGGCCCTCTAGCGACCGTGCCGTCCGGGGATGCCATCGGCACTTTCGCCAAGGCACAATCTGATGCATCCTACACCGACTTCTGCCCTTGCCTGACGGAGGTGGACTGGCTGAATGACATTTATTTCATCTATTTGAAGCCCCTGCCGGGCAAGACGGCCCCCAAGACGCTGAAGGCCGTTGAGAAGATGTTTGTGTGATGGTGAGAGCCAGATGGATGGCAACCTGTTGAAGGCTGCGCTGAAGCGCACCGCAAGGCCGTTGGCAGCGTCGACGCCAGGGGAGTGGGTGACGTCTGCTGCGGACTATGAGACAGTATGACTAAACCTCAGGCACAAAGCCTGAGGCCCAAAATCCTACAACCCGAGAACCCAAAACGCGAAGCTCGGAAACTTTCAGCTGAAGCACTGAATCCTCAAACAAAATGAGGCTGTGAGCTCAGCGCATCGGTGCCAAATGCATGTGTACAACTCGATGCTCGCAGTTGTGGATGGATCCGTTCCCTGCAACATGTTCTCCAACAAGGTGAGCTCTCTTGATGCAATTTCTGCTGCGAAGGGCTTCTGCAGCTTTAAGGGTGCGGTGGAAGCGGCCCAGCGCAGATGAGAGTTTTTCAGGCGCTGTGGCGTCGACTTGCCGGACCCTTCGAGGGCCGCAACTCTTTGTAGATGTGTGCCAAGTGGCTTTTGAGCTGTGCAGTGCAGAAGGGTGGAGTCGTTGGCGACTGAAACGACAAGGGTGCTGAAAAGAGCAGTGTTATATTGGGCTTGGGGTTGCGCGGCGTTCAGGGCCCGTCTCAAACACACCCATGAAGCCCACTCTTCGCAAGGCCCCAGGCGGTGAGATGGATGCGCTGCTCGCAGCCGCGGAGGCTGCCGGTGCCTGTGCTGCGGCGGAGGCACCAGCAGTGTCTGGAGGTTTTTCCAGGAGGGAGCCATGTCTGCCCGTCCTTTGTTTGTCCTCCCAAAAAGTCCCCAACACGTCGAATCCTTGTACGGTACGGCCCTATGAGCCCTTGCCAGGACTTCGTGGCCGGCGCCCGGCCACCCAGCGCGCTGTACTGGTCCAACACCCTCAAGGGCGAGGCCCCAAAGGCGCGCTCAAGTCCTCGACAGTTCTGCCACAGCACCCGCCACATGCGCACGAGAGGAGGCGGACACCGAGGATGAGCGAAAACGTTGCAGGCCCGCAGGCTTTTGTGACGTGTCAGGCTTCGGGAAAGTGCTTCTTGCTAGAGCCAGGGACTGCTCAAAGGAGCGGTTGCTTCGGTTTCCTATCGTGCGGGAGCCACAACGATGCAACCTCCAGCTCCAGCCCCTTGTATCCTCCCTCAAGCCCAACGATATGCCTCCCACACCTGAAAAGACCCATCTAAGGAATCTAAGTCAACAGTCCCTGAAGGCCGACGGGCTTGATGAGCTCCGAGGAGGCGCGGAAGTTGGCGCGCGAGGCCAAGAAGGCACGGGCCAAGTGAGAGGCTGCGGGCCGCGCGCAGCCGCGCTGCCGCGCTGCCGCGCTGCGAGCCGTGGTTGGAGAGTGGGAGTTTCCCCAGCTCAGGACACCCCCCCCAAACGAATCCCCAGAAGCACTGAGGGTCCAAGTTCATATCTTTGGGGATGCATCTAGGGGAACAGAAGTCAGAGCGCCATCCGTTTCTCGCAGCTGCTCCCGGAGATCGGCTCTCCGGTGCAGATCCCTCGTCAAAACCTTCGGGGTGGAGAAGACTCTTTCAGAGGAGCCCTGCGCATGCGCAGTGTGCAGCACCCTGGGGTGCACCAATGGGCCAAAGGGTAGAAAAAGGTGCGCTGGGGCTGCCTTCTTGCTGTGGCCCTTGGATTCCGCGATGGCCGACGCGTTCCGCTAGGAAGAGTCGGGTGCATTGAGATCCCAAGATTGCCACACAGCCCCTTTGCAAAGATGGATGAGCTGATATTACAGTTGTCCAGATGCGCATCTGCTGGTTGCTTACGGAACCTCCCCAGAAGGAAGAAGCATTTGGAGCTGGTGGCTGCTTAGCTGTTCTTTTTTGCAGTGACTCATCAATGGAGGCCGTCTACGCCCTGCTGCCACCCTTCGAGCGCGCCACGAAACGAGAGGAAGCCCAACAGGCAGAGGCAGCACCAGGGGTTTACGAGTTTCTGCTTTGGAGGGATGTTCAGAGAGGGATGCTCTTGAAGCTCTTGATGTTCCTAGCTGCCTAGCTCCTTCAGGCCCCGTCATACCTGATGCCTGGCCCCGCGGGTCCGCGCAGGAAGACGCGGTTCAAATGAAGAAGGAGGCGGAGAGGCGCCAGCAGGGCACACCTCAACCCGAACATCCCCCCCTTCCTCCCCAAATCGCGTAGTCCCAGAGGCCTTCCATCCTCAAATTTTTTGAACCTCGCATCCCTGGAAGGCAGGTGTCGCAGATCATCACTCGGGCTGCCGTGCTGTCGGGATCACAGAGCGGGCGGTGTTTTCGTTTCGTGAGTACAGAAGACCATGGAGATCTCTTCAGAGCGGCTCCGGTACTAGGAGAGCCCTTTCTGTCTCTCTTCTTGAGGCTCTCAAATGTGTGTGTCCCGTTTTCGAGCCCCTGACGATTTCGTCTCGAAAGCTCTCAGAGGCTAAAATGGCCAGCTGCTGCTGCCACACCTTCTTTTCGCTGTTTCTGCAGTCCTACTCATGTTGAGGCACGGAGCACACAGCACACGAGCACACGCACGCACGCAACCTGCCCTTCCACCCCTCGATCGCAAGCTCCAGCAGGTGCACCCTAGCACCGCGCCGCTCAAGTCGCAGCCTGGTGCCCTGTGAAGCCCAGGCGGGATACCATCTGCAAGCAGGTCATCGTCCAGCTCACAACCGGAGCTGCTTGGCAGGTCTTGGCATATGCACCGCAATGCACGGCACAGGCTTGAAAGGCTTCAAAGGTTTTCTAGCTGGGTCTCCTCAACTGAAGCGCTGTTCCGAAGTGGAGCTGAGCAGTGTAGGGCGTACTTGCAGCTAGTCCGAGCTGCAGAATCGCCCTGAGCTCCTTTGCATACTTGGGGGGCTCCCTAGGAGTGCTTAGGTTCTCAGAGTCCGTCAGCAACAGCTTCGAGGGCCCCGAACAAACCCCCCTCCCCCCCCCCAATTTCCCAAAGCCTTCCAGCGCTGAGGCGCCTCCCATGCGCTTCGTCACGCCGGGCTTCATCTTGCACCCGGGGGGAAAGTGGGCCAAAAGAGAGTTTGGTTTTTTCCACATTTCCCAAAGGGCAGCAGAGAGATGCCCTCACAGCGATCTTGGGGCGGATCCGGCCGGGGTTGAAAGGTGTTGGAAGTCTACACGTGCCTTCAGGTACATTGGACGGACGCGGAACATGAGCCAGGCAGGCGTTTTCAGGCTGTGTCAGGTCAGGGAGACTTGAGGATGAGGGCTCCGGTTGCCCTTCGGAGTCGAATCTGTGCCGCGCCGGAGGTCAGCCCTGTCTTCATCTTCCCAGACAGCTTCGCAGTGCCCATGTCCCCAGATTTGCTTCGACGCAGCAACTGACAGGCAGTCCCACTGACGGACCACATTCATGTCAGATCTTGCGGAGCCTTGCAGAGTTATTGTGCCCGGATGGTTGAAGTAACCTGACCCCGTGCCGCTTTGCATCTTCAAAGGCGGCTGAGACATCTCTGGCACCTTTGCAGAAAGGCAGAGCTGTGCGTCCGAGGCCGCCAACTGCTGGGAACACGCCGACGCCAGGCGGAGCCTGTAGTATCTGTAGTGTTTGAGTCAGCGAGAGTATGGCAAGAAGGCTTTGGCGAAGAATAGGAGTTGTTTCGGAAAGCTTCTTCGGGGGGCCACACCGGTGTGTGAGAGAGAGAGAGAGCGTGTGGCAGAAGGCAGCAACCTTACGGCCTTCTCTTTCATCTTCGTCGAGTACAGGAAGCTCGGCGCTGCAAAGCGAAGCCCAAAAAAGCCCATCGACCCCCTCACCAAGCCTTGCTCCAGCTTCTCACTTCACGGCGATGTCTCCAGACTTCTTCTTCCTCTTTCCCCCCCTAAAAAACCCCGACGCCGAGCCGAGCACCGAGGAAGAACATCTACGGCTGGTCGGACAGCGCGCCTCCAGGTCGGGCCCACTCCCCCTCTGCTCCCCTCTTTTTGGGGACCCGAACCCCCCCCTTTGTTCGGTAGCCTGCGGAGTGGTGACCGCTGCTGAGGCAACCAGACGCGGATCATCACGCTCCTCGCGCCGGGCTCGGGCCGGGGCTTCGTAAGTTCTCTTCTGGGTCCCTCAAGAGATACGGGGGTTTAGGATGATGACGGACCCGTAATATAGACCTAATGGGGACCCCCCAAATAGTCGGACCTCCTTATTATAAGGACCCCCAATAAGGTACCGGCCATTCTCAGCTCAGCTCAGAGACCTCTCTCCCTCTTTCAGAATGTAGGAGGTGGCGAGTCGGCATGTCCACTCAAGAATTCGCTTTGGCATGCTGTGGTGTAGGCCGCATCTGGGCCAAGCTCAAAGGGGGGGGGGCGATTCGAAGGGAGCCTTGAGATAACACACTGGCACACTTTATGCTACCACTCTGCTACAAAGCTCTATAAAGTGCTCTACGATGTTGTGGGGTGCACCTGAGGTGATGAAGGCGAGCACCATCGAGATCGAGGCGCGCCGCTGTAGGCAGCTTCAGGCACAGAAAAGAGCTTGAAGGGGCGACAAAAGATCAGGCAAGTTACCGGCAAGTTGGAGTCTGCCGGGAGATGTAGAGCTGTAGAGCTGTAGAGCTGTATTTGGGCTTTTTGCGGGCATGGCCAGCAGGCGCAAGGTCCAAGAACACACTTGAAGTCACCTGCCTGTATGATAATAGAACATACATCGACCTTGTTGGGCACGCGAGCAACAAGGATGTGTGTGCTCTTGGCAGAGTGCTCAAGACCGTAGTTGCCCAGCCGTCGAATCCTTCTGTTATCGGCCTCTTGGCTTCTGTTCAGATCAGCGCGAACAACAACCGCTTCCCCATCCGGGTTTTCGCAGATCGGTCCGGGGCCCGAGTAAGCCCAGCGAAGACACGCCTCTGCACGCCAAGCACTCTGATGCGCTCAGAAGCCCCAAAGCACTGTGGATCTACAAAGACGCGTAGCCGCGTAGCGGTTTTGGGAGAGTCTTCCTCCGGGATGCGTTCATCCCCCTGCCAGACTGAGGACGCTGTACTCCTCGGGTCTCTGCATGTACTGGGATCGCTTTGCGCCCGACAGCTCCGGAGGAGCCTGGTCACCACAGGCCGGAGCTTTTTGGGGTTGGGGGGCCATCGTCCCGGCATTTGGCTTCTAGATTTTCTGCATTGTTGTGGGAAAGCCGTTCGGGCACCTCCTCTTTGGGACTTGGGTGTTTTGTAGCTTTCTGTAATGGGGAGGTGGGGCTTAAAAGCGCTAGACTCCTCAAGTGTCCAGGGCCTGCTAAACTCCGGCGATGGCTGCCTGACGACGCACCTCTCTGACATCGGTGGCACTGCTGATCTGGTTTTACCATAACCTACCTCTTGGGGTGCAAGAGGGGCTGGTGTTCTCCAGGAGTTTTTGGAGGGATGGATGCAACGGGCTGGCAAGTTGAAGGACCTTCACGGGCGACAGAAAATCAGCTTGATTAATGTGCTCTTGCTCTTGCTGATCTTGCTGAGTACAGGGAGTGAAGTAGAGACAGAGCTTGAAGCATCTGAAGAGAGCCAATTCACCTCTCAGGTCTCTTCGTGGACGGACGTGCCGCGCGGGTCGTGGAGGCTCGTGGACAAAGGTTTCCGGGGAGGCTCTAGGTGGGCTCTTTGTGAGGAGGATCGAGTTTAAAAAAAATTAGCAACAAGTTGGAAATTGCAGGTTTGCTGCTTTTCGCCTTTGGCACAGCGCTTGCCTCACTTAAGCAGATTTTCCTACCAAGGTGGACCGTGCCGTCAGCTACTACATCGACGAGGCTGCACAGCTTTCAGACCCTAAGTCCATCCGTGTGTATTGCAGTCTTGGCCTTCGGCCTTCGCCGTGGCGCGTGCTTCGAGGGTCACCTAAAGTTGTTAGGCAATGCACCTAGGCGAAATCGAAGCCACGACTTGAGTCGTAGAGCTCGGACAGCTTTGATTTATGTGTGCGTGTGACGTTGCAGCGCCTCGTCTTGTGTTTTGACTGCCCGCCAAAGAGCCCCGAAACCTCTGAGAGCCGTCGAGAGGTGGTGGACGTCGGAACGAACTTCTCGCAGATGGCCGTCCTAGGCGGGTTTAGGGTTTAGAGTTGAGGGTTTAGGGTTTAGGCTTTAGGGTTTAGGGTTTGAGACACATCTTCAGACAGGATCGGACGGGCTTGCTTTTCTTACCCTGCCTCTTTTGCCAAAGTAAAAGTTGTCCGCCCAAAGAAGCAGAGATCCTTTCCTTGTGGATTTTGAAGGCCTGAGCCTCTATTGCTCCCCCAACTGTCCGGAACATCCCCCCTGGCGCCAGGTTTCATCCTGCTCTTGGGCACTTTCTGTGCGCT